ACTATCTGAAGCAACTGCTGCCGGTGGCCTGGTCCCACAATCCCCTGACCACCCTCAAGCTCATCTTCAATCTCCATTCTAGGATTATTCGTAAGGGAAGAAATTATCCGGAAGCCTTTCACACAGCCGTGTTTTGGCTCCACCAGAACCACCCCAAGACGCTACTATGCAACCTCCCCGCCTTCGCAGGTTGGAAATGGGGTTTCGATAACCTTCTCGACATTCTCTACGGCCTTCTAGAACAAGGCCAAGACGCTACTGCGGAGGAGAGGCTCCACCGTGACCCTGACTATAAGTTGTTACACGACCAGGTTATGGATCTCTTGGCGGAGCGGTGGAAGTCTGATATTGAAAAATTGAAGCAGCACAAGCTGGAACTAAAGTCATTCCAAGACTGGGACCAACTTGATGAGGCTGATCATCTTTTGGTATCTGGGACTGCAGCGGTTTGCAGCCTCCCCGACCCCCACACCAGCTCCATTTTGCTTCGTGAAAGCATTGCGAGGAGGCTTTTCCCACCAGAATCGGATCAATCCGAAGAGTGGGAACGGCTAACCAACGCTTTGGAGCCCTTTTTAAATTACTACATGCATCGAGCCTTACATGGGAACCACACACTAGAGCGCGCTGAGGTAAAATGTTTGGAGGAGGTGAAAGCAGCAGCTGCAGCAGGAGGCAATTTAGGAGGCGGCATAATAAAGCCGGATGCTTTGCTTCCAAATGAGATCATGAAATACGCAGAAGATGAGGATTTCGGGGAAGCGGCTAACCTTCAGTGGAAGGCAATGGTGGAGGACATGTACCTGAAGCAGCGGCAAAAGCAGGGGGAAGAAGGTTTGGGCAAATTTAAAAACTGTTTGGCAGTGTGTAACATCACTGATCACACGGCCAAATTACAAAGAGAATTGGGGGTGAGTTTGGGACTTTTGGTTTCGGAACTGAACGAAGATCCGGCATGGAAAGGAAAGGTGATCAGTTTCGGTGATTTGCCCGATGGTCAGTCTCAGCCGCTGCTGCATTCGATACAAGGCGATGATCTCAAGTCCAAGTGCGAGTTTATGATGAGGACATGTCGCATGAAGTCCAACGAGAGTGTCGATTTTCGGAAGGTGTGTGATCTGATTCTGGAAGTGGTTGAGAATGAGAACTTGAAGGCAGAGCAGATGATCAAGAAAGTGTTTGTGCTCACCGACCTCACAGGATTCTTTAGCTGCACCTCGAAGACTCTGTATGAAGCAAAACAGAGCAAGCATGAGGAGCTTGAGGCTTCCGGATACGATGCGTGGCCATTGCCTCACATTTTGCTTTGGAATATTAGTGAATGGAAGTATCCTCATTCAGAAGAACATCATCCAGGGGTGACGCTGATGAGTGGCGTCAACGACAATTTGATCAAGTCCTTCATGGACAATGGTGGGGAAATTGGCCCGCGACAGGTCATGGAAGCAGCCATCGCTGACAGAGAGTTTCAAACTTTCTCTGTCGTCGACTGAACTTTAATTTTAGAGTTGAGTTATTTCCTAGGTATAGCCAGATAGCAACATTTTTGCTCTGAAAGTGGAGAAACTATTGGTTTGGCATGTATTAATTGAAACTGATCAGACAGAAACTTTCATTTTAATCTTCTGCTTATACCATGTTCATATGAAACTGATTACACACAAACTAAATTTTCAGCTTAAGAAGAACTTAAGCCTCA